ACATGAACAGAGGCTGATTCCTGTGCACGAGCGTGTCAGCTGCTGCTAAACAATGGCGACCCACCACCGACGACACTGCGGAGACAATGAGCGGCGCATCCGACCGGGAAGTGATGAGCAGGGTGCGATATCGGAGCGGCACCAAGACCTGCGCACCAGGCGGGATCGAGACCGTAGTCCTGACCAGCACCTAAACTCATGGAAGCTGCTTCGGTTCCCCGTCTGGGCGCAAGAAATATAAGCGACCCCCGACGGGGTCTCGACGTAGCCTTCGTCCGTTAGAATGCAAAGGGGCATGAGCCCCAACAGGTCCGTGCCCAGCAAGCAGGGAACCGTGAGCGGCACTACCACTTGGCCCACTATCCCCATACTTCCCCCATTTGTGGCTATGTATCTGGCCTGCACCGGAGCGAGACGACGCTGCCCCTCCGGTAACAAGTCAAAGATACGCAGGGATATGATGCTGGCCGATGCACCCATGTTGACCAACACGCGGACGCTAACCCCTTCCACTGAGCTTACCAACACGGACGTCCCCCCCGTGGCTGCCACCACCCTTCTGGCCAACCGATGCCACTTTTTAACCATGTCCGGCCACGGGCCCGGACCGTCAGTGGGAATCCTAGCCTATGCCCCCGAGTGATGAGATGCGTGATGGGGTGAACATGGCGTGTATGGTTCCGGCCGGGTGTTCGAGGTGTCAGCATTCGCCTGAGTCGGAACGGCCGCGGACCCAGGCTGACGATCCTGGCTGGTCGTCCCCGGCACACTCGTCCTGCTGCGGCATCCGCGGGCGATGTTTCCCTCCGGGCCGCAGCGGTGGCAGATGATGTCGTCGTTGACCCGCTTCCCGCGGAATCCTTGGGGACTGCCGCAGGGCCACCAACGTCTCTCCCTCATCCTCCTCCGCCAGCGGCGTGTGTCAAGTTGGAGGCCGTGGCCGCTCCTCGACGTCACCGCGATCAGATGCGACGTGTGCCACAGCTCGCACAGGTCCCGCCATCTCCTCGTGAGTGCAGAGATGGCGTGCGACCCATAGCGAGGTGCGGACTTCCTCCTCCACCACCGGCAGCATCGCTCCCACCTTTCGTGCCATGGCAAGGAGCCACTCTGCCACCAGCGAGTCCAGGGCCAGCTCGTTGAGCCGCGGGAATGCGGCTTCTGCCATCGCCAACAGTTCCGGCCTGAAGACCAGGAACGATTCGGATGCTTCGCACTGGCGGTCTTGAAACCTCTGGCGCACTCTGGACGGAGGATCGAACATGTCAGCTATCTCCTTGTAGACACCCTGCAGGGTTCCTCGTTTTTCAGCCGGAATCCGGTCGAACACCACCAGCGCGGGGTCATCCAACATGGTGGGCAGCATCGTCAGGGCTTGCTCCTCCGTCCACCTCATTGCCCGGGCGGCCGTCTCAAACCGGCGGACGAAAGCGCGCCATTCTCCCGTTCTGGGCGCAAACTTCTGTATCGCGCCCATCTGGCGGCTGCATCCTGATCCATCCTCCGCGGGCTGCCTCGTCTGAGGTTCCGGCTGAATCTCGCCCCCGGTTGCCACTGCTGTCAGAGAATCTCGGGAGGACCGACTCGAGTGTTCTCCCAGGTCCCACGCGGGACGCACGGTCGGCGGCATCATTGATGCTGCTCCATCCCCGGAGAGACGCTGCGAAGTGCCTGGTTAGGAAGGCTGACCGACACCCCCGGTTCCTCCTTGAGGAGGTGTTGCGGCTGAGGTTCCCCACGCCCGTTCGAGCTCAGGACCCAGCCGGCTAAGCAGCGCGGTGACTGCCTCCAGCAGCAGATCCATCCTCCGATCCCTCGAGGATGATCTGTGGCGGCGACGGCGCTGTGTCTGCACCGATGGATTAATGGAGGAAGGTGGCCACACGGGCGAAGCAGCTGCGACGGAACTCGTCGATGAGCCGGGAGACAAATCCCGACTTGTCCGTACCGTTTCGGAGCAGATCTCGTCCTGGACACCCAGAGCAGCTTCTTGCTGTGTCTCCCCCCTTGGGTTCTTGCTTCGGGTGAGGCGAGACATCCCACCACTGCCACCAGATTAAGAGGACTCGAGAATGGTTTGAAGCACTTCTTTAATTCACCAATGCACAGCAACCCTCGTTCCACAACCAACCTCGAACACCTGTCCCACAGCGCCCTTTAACCCATCTCCAATACACATTCCCGTCTGGCACGCCTTGGTCCGGGTGACGTCGTGTTTGCGTGGTGCGTGTGCGTGAGGGTGGCTCGCAGAGCCCCTACACCTGTATAGGCCATTTCATTGAGCTATCATTTGTGATATTCAGGTTCATTCTGCAAAAGAGTTAAATGGCACAGTGGGGCCTTAGCTGATGATAATTGCTTGTGTTGTGATCGAAAAGTCGTGATATATTTAGTATTTTTATACGGTTTTAATTAACTTGACTCCTATGTTTGTCTTGGTCAAATCTTGAAATCAAAATTTTGTCTACTTCCTGTTGTCCAATCAATTCCAAATTTTGCACACTTACTCAGATCCGGTGACAATGCATGCCATTATCAATTAATAAATTAATTGACTCTTTTAAAGCAATTCACATTTTGTATGGACGGCTTAATATTTAAATATATATTTGAGTAGCTCAAAAACTCCGCGGTCCCTAAACTCTGGAATCGCCTCGCCCAAGAAGCAGGCGCGACGTGTCTCTTGTCATCAAGATGTCTTCCACTTCCCATCCAATCGAGTTATTTACTTTTAAGTGCACTTAAAAATAAATCCCGTTGTTTTTCAATTTTTTTTTTTAAGGATTCTAGATTTGAAGTTTTCGTGACTGCAAGGATTCATACTCTTAGTTCTTTCAGTAAAGTCACGTAGGTAAAAAATGAAATTAAAATTAATAAAAGTGGAGAAAGATGGCAAACTACCATTCTTAGATATTCTGTTTGAGAGGAGACCTGACGGATCCTTGGGACATTCTGTCTACAGGAAATCCACCCACACAGATTCCTACTTGAAACCGGATTCCCACCACCACCCATCTCAAAAGAATTCACTCATCAAAACGCTATACCACAGAGCTCATGGCATTTCTGACCAACACCACCTGGCCAGTGAATTGAGACATGTACATCGGGTCTTCAGGATGAACGGATACTCTGAACGCACCATCCGCCAAGCTGTTTCTCCCACCATACAGAAACAGCCACTTGAAACTCTGATCAAAACTGTCACGTTACCATACATAGCAGGCGTGACCAAAAAGATCTCCAAAATTCTAAACAAACATAAGATCCAAGTCCGATTCAGTACAGTACATAAAATCCGTGATCTAATTCCATCTGTGAAGGATGTCATCCCTGACTTGCAATACCCTGGAGTCTATAAACTGAGTTGCAGCTGTGGTGACTGTTACATTGGGGAAACGAAACGTCATGTCTCTGATCGTGTCCGCGAGCACAAATCAGATTTGAAACACGGCAAAATTGAGTCTTCCGCCGTTGCCGATCATTGCTACAACGCGGTGGGCTCTCATGAGATTGTTTTCTCCGAGACTAAGGTGCTCTGCAAACCCTCTGGCTACCATCAAAGGTTTGTACACGAAGCCATTCAGATATACAAACACAGACATAATTTCAACCGTGATGATGGGTACAAACTTAGTAATCATTGGAAAGATGTTATCAACCATACAAAAAAGATTTAATTACACATTTTTGGACCATCTTATCTGACAGGCACTATTTTACTTTACCGAGTATTTACATCCCTAACGTTTAACAGTACTCTCTTTATTGGCAGCCAACACTGGTATAAACATAGGCATTTTCGTTTTCCTTTTCTATTGTGCACATCCACAGTGATTTGCGCATAAACACGTCGTTGACCACGACTACCTTGTCCCTCTGTTAGCCCCGCCCCCCCTCCCGATACGTTCCATTCATTGGCTAACACATTCTGATAAGCCCCTCCCCTCCCTCCCCCATTAACTGGCACTTAAGAGCTTACATCTTGAATCCCGCCTTCACTTGATGCAGAAAATCTGGCTGTGACGGTCCCACCTGATGACGGAGACTTGTGTTGCCTCCGAAACGTCGTGATTTTTATTGTTTTATTTTTATTCATTTTAATTTCATTTTTTACCTACGTGACTTTACCGAAAGACCCAAAGAATAAGAATTCCTGAAGTCATGAAAACTGTATGTCAAGAAAATGAAAATAGTTCAGTCTATGGGTCTCTATGTATCTCTATGTGTCCATATATATCACTTTTTGTCCCTATGTATCTCTATGGGTCTCTATGTATATCTATTGGTCTGCTGCTATATTTTCAGGTGATGGTGATGATGCCAGCCACTTTGCTGAGCTGCTTTTATACTCTTAGGTTTTTTTTCGGTAAAGTCACGTAAGTAAAAAAATTAGTAATAATATATATATTTTTTTATCTACGTGACTTTACCGGAAAAACAAACAAACCGAAGAGTATGAATCCTTGCAGTCACGAAAGCTTCAAATCTAGAATGAGCTGCTATTGTTTGTGACAGCAAGGGTCGCTTATGAAAAAGCTACATAGCTCAGTGGGGCCTTACCTGGTAAAATAAAAATAGTTGTCATTTAAATAAACTCCGGTGACGTGATTAGGGACGGCGCGAGGTGCAGCTGTGCGGTGTTCGTGCCTCTGCATCCATGCTGGTGCGCGACCTCCCGTGCAGCGCAACAGCTGCACCACAGCTCGACCCCAACAATCTGTGGCACTTTCCACATTTGTTTTTTTTTGCCACAAGAGTGAAAGACGGAATGCCGAGCAACCCGACCTCGCGGCTGACTCACTGATGCGGTTATCGAATGCGGTAAATGTGCAACCCCCTTGTAGTTAATGTTGAGTTTGAAAGTGAATGATTTGGTTATAGTAAGATGAGTCAAAGTTATGAAGCTGCACGAAGTTCGCTTGAATTAATTTTGACCTCCACGACTTCCACACTGGGTGGAGGTCACGGGGTCAAAGAGCCAGGCCCGGACATGGTACCTGGGCCTTCTTGCGAGCAGTCTCCATCCGCTTCACGGACTCCTCCGCCTCCTTCCTCTTCTTGTCCACCGCTCGCGTCTCCTCCCCTACGCGCGTCTGTAATGAGAGACGAGACGTCACCAGGGGGATTATCCAGCCCCCTGAGCCACCCCTCACACCGCCCTTCCCTCCACACGGACCCCTCCACAGTGAAGGCCCTCATCTCCTCAAGCTGATGCCTTGTTGAAGCAGCACCCGGTGGGAGAGGTGCTGGCTTGGTGTCCATACCGAGTCGGAAACATGGGCCCATGTGACCACAGCTGTCTAGTTTATAAGATAAATCTAATAGAATTGATTATCAGGTGGCTGTGATATCAGTCTCAAATCTATGTCCACTTAATTACTTTATTCGGCAATTATGTTTAAGGAAGGCCAAGGATTCAATACATTCTGAGGTGCTTTCCTGAAATGCAAACCCGAAGATTATCTTCACAGGCAGAGAAACAGATTCAAAAGGGAGAGCATGAAAACACAATAAAAAAAATTTCATCAGATGTTGTGTAGCCGAGTGACAGAATTGGTCAGATCGTGTTACGGTGTCTCACTCTGAGGGCCTGACCTTCCGTGTCTCGTGCTCGTCCTTCAGCGTCAGGACTTTGTGCCCTGTGTGTTTTCCTGCGGTGGTGCAAGTTGAGCAGACCAGGCTGCTGTCCACTTTGCAGTAGAATTTCAGCTCCTCGCTGTGCTCAGGGCATCTTCGCTCATCAAAGCTCGCAGTGGGATCCACCACGGCGTGGTCTCTCAACCTGGGATTCTCCAGGTGAGGCCTAAAGTGAGAAAAACAGTAGGACATCTCGCATCTCAGGCAGGTTTTCACTGCAGGAGTGTGGCCATCACCGCAGATGTCACAAACGACGGGCGCGGCCATCCCATCTCCAACTCTGAGCTGCTCCACCAGGTTGGCGAGGGCCACGTTCCTCCTCAGCTGGGGTCGCACAGGGAAAGTCGCTCGGCACTGCGGGCAGCTGAAGCTGCTCGCCGTCTTCCAGGCGGCCTCCAGGCACCGGAGGCAGAACGAGTGTCCGCAGCTCAGCGTGGAGGGGCAGACGAACGTTTCCAGGCAGATGGAGCAGCGCAGCTCACTGTCCACACTCTCACTGGGATTCGCGCTAGCCATGACTCATGGGCTTTGCTGGGATCGCTCGCTGTGTGGCTCAGAGATACGCTGGATCAGGACCTCTCTCTTATAGCGACGGTGAAGAAGGAAGTTAAATACTTAAAATATTTTCATTGTCGTCACTGACATTACGAGACACTGCTCGGAATGTGAACACATGTCCTTGGTGTGCAAACAGCAGCTTCAAGGTTAACATTGTTACAGTACACACCTTGACACGAACAAAATGTATCAAAGGAATATTTTTTTAACAAATATATACATTTAAAGAAATGAGTGTTGTTAATATAAATCGGCAAGCCTCAGCTGCGGTGGATTATTAATGAGATGAGTATCGAGAGATAAACTCGTCCTTCCAGAGCTCAGCGTACAAGTTGGTGTCTATGATAAGACAGAACAATGGATTGGGTGCCACCGTGGCTTTGAGATGTTATCTCGCTCGCCTTATGGATGCTTTATATTTAATATTTGCGTCTTTCTCTCTCTCCCCTTGGTCTCGGGAATTTGTATCTGGATCCTCCGGTTTACCATCCACATTCAGAATCAACATCAAGTATTTAGAGTAATTGGCTGCAATCAATTTCCAAATAATTCGCTTCATTGCGCTCTCATTTGTAATTTGCCAGGTCGCTTCTGACAAAGAGCCACATAGCGCAGTGAGCCTTACCTGGTAAAATTAAAAAGAGTTTGTGTAGTTGTAGATATCTCATGATGTCCTGTAACGCCATCTTCAGGACATTACCCCAACGTGACGAGTTACTTGAATGTCATTGTGGCATCTGAGATGGAATTTGTCTGTAGCCTCCCGTGACCCATCCTGGAATCTTGAGCCTTTTGCTAGCAATGTGAATCTATCACCAACTCTACCTGCCTCCATTACCCACTGCTAGCGATGTCGCCGTCTCTCACTCTCACCTTGTCAGAGACTGCAGATCCCCGTCCCAATCATTCACAGCCGCACCCACTGCTTATTTCCCCTGCGTTGTTTCACATTCATACGCACGGCTCTTGTACACGCATGGCTCTTGTACACGCATCCTCCATCCATCTTTCCACAGCCCCTCCCCTCGTGATCCGTTCTTTGCTCATCACACCACGCTTCTCCTCGGGCGTGTTGAGGCACAGCATGGTGCGATGCACAGGTGTGGGGGCCGTTGGCCCCCGGGGTCTCCCCCGCCTGCATCCCCTTTCCCGTTTGCGTTACCGCACCGCCCTAATACCCGCTAGGGTTTCGCCGGCATTCGAACGCGACGCCCCTACTCATACAGCCTCGCGCAGCGCTCCCACGCTGCGAGCGTACGTACGCACGGCATCATCAATCAAACGCCATACTCCCTCTCACGCACCGCTACGTACAGCTCTCGCACGCTGCGAGCGTGTGCCCGTCTACAGCCCTGTGCAGCACTCGCCTCCACGTCGAATAACCACGTTACCAATGCACACCTGTATCCGATACGTAGCGAACGTACGCATACACCCACACACAGCTCCACGCGCTCTCACTCAACACTGACTACTCACGTTATGATCGCGCACCTGTATCATACACGTAGTGAACGTACGCGCACACACGCAGCTCCACACGCGACACCCACTCTTGCGCCGCTCTGCGCAGCGCTCCCACGTGGCGAGCCGCTGTATACACAGCACCACACGCGTTCACACTTCTCAGCGAGATCACACGAGGCCACGATCAGCTATTAATGATTTATTCGCGGCTACCTAAGAATTATTGCTAAATCAGTATGAATCGACGAGGCTGGCCTATTCTGCTAACCCTGGACCTATTCCCTATTTATCGGCTTATGATACTATTTCACCTTCTTACTCACGGTTCGAAGTATTCGGCGTCCCGTGGGTTTTCCTCGCTGCTCGTCTGGACACGTCGCACGGACGTCCGGAGGTCAGAGCTGGGAGCCGCCTTGACCGCTGGCTTCTTGGAGTGAGATCCTCTCTACCTGGCTACGATCGCTTTTATCCTATCTCCCCCGACCCAGGCCCCGCCTCCCGCGCCCTTACTCGCTCCTCCGGCGCTCATTCTAGTTCATCCCATTCTCATGCATGCCTTTGTTATGTCAATTATGCGGCGGCACCGATCACAAAAGCTTGCCGTGGGAATTTATGCACGGACCTCTGCGTACCTCTGATTATTCGTAATTCCAGCTTTATCCTTTAACTTCCCTAATTTCCCTAATAATGGCGCCTGCGCGCTCGAGCCCATTTTGTCATGCTAAATTATGCCGTCCCGTTCCTCCTCTGCCTGTCTCGTCGATGCGTGGGTGTGTGTGGGGGATGCGTTTCAACCGCGGTGGCCGAATGCCCCTCGCCGCGACCATGCAATCTTAATGCCGGTCACAGCGCCGCGGTGCGAAGTAGCATCGGGGGAGGTCGTCCAATTCCCTGGTCGCCGGAAACCGTGAAGGTTAATCCCGATAAGGGCTTCTCGGATTAAAACCGGTCGGCCAGGTGACTTCCCCTCGGAGCTCTATGGGGGGGGGGGAAATGTGTGCGGGTGTGTTTATGTCAGGTGAGGTGAGGGGGACGCGGGGTCGGCTCCGTCACTTGGTGGTGGCGAGGTCGGGAGTGGGGCGCCCGCTGAACGGCTTTGTGGCGGCGGCATCACACAGGCGTCGTGGCAGATAAAAAAAACTGACGGCCTCTCCTCAAGGCTTTTCAGAACCAGAAGTTTACTTCCCCGAGTAGAGCCCTTTGAGCTAAGAAACTATTTTTCAAGGTTGAATTCGCCAGCAGACATCATCAAAGCATTCAATAATTACACACCCACTCACTGGCCCAATCATAAACTCACGCACTCACACACTCACTTGTCCACTCACCCAACCACTCAATAACCCACTCACCCACTTATAACACCCACTTAATCATTCACCTTACCTCCCACTCGCCCATTCTCTCACACACACTTCATAATCATATGAATTAGAAGTTTACTTCCCCGACTAGAGCACAGCGAGCTAAGGAAGATTTTTTTCAAGAGCGCCTCGGTTCATCTTATTGGTTCTTTCGGTAAAGTCACGTAGAAGGGAAATAATAAAATAATGAAAATAAAACATTATTAAATTAAATTATCAGGACGTTTCGGCCACAGCACAAGCAGCCGTCCTCAGGTGAATAAACAGAGCTGTCTGAAAGACAGCGCTCCAATGAACACTGCTATGCTTGGCTGCGTATTTTAAGCTGGGTGGGAGGAGCAGAGCGCCTTGACAAAGGAGTTAACATATCAACATAATAATTTAGCATTGGATTATCTGTGTTAATTTTAAAGAAATTAGCAGGATGTTAAAGTCAGAAATTAGCATGTAACTGGGAGATTAGCATGATGTTAATGTGAGGATTTAGCATGTAACTGGTCACGGAAGTGGCTATGTTAAAGTCAGAGTTCACATATCAACAGAGGCATTTAGTATATTGACGCTAAAGAACTGCAACTACCCAACTATCATGCAATAAACCTATGTGAAAGAACTAAATATAAACTACATCAATATAATCAATGAACTCAATATATTTTCCAATAAGCTGAGCTATTAACAATGAGCCACTCTGTCTACAGGAAAGCTACCCATCCGGATGCTTACTTAAAACCGGATTGGGAATCATAGAGCCCAATGCATTTCCGACCAGCAACACATTGCCAGTGAACTCAAGCACGTACACCAAGCTCTCAAGGCTAATGGTTACTCCGACTACACAATCCGCAAAGCCATCACTCCAACCATGAAGAAGGATCCTCTTGAGGAGCCATTCAAAACCATAATCTTACCCTACATTGCGGGGGTCACAAAAAAGATCTCCAAAATCCTGAATAAACACAAGATCCAGGTCTGATTCAACACAGTACATGAAATCCGTGATCTGGTCCCGTCTGTAAAAGATGCGGTTCCAGACATACAGTACCCGGGCGTCTACAAACTAATTTGCCTCTGTGGTAGCAGTTACATTGGAGAAACCAAACGACATGTTTCGGACCGCATCCGGGAACATAAAGCAGACCTGAAACACGGTAGGACAAATACCTCAGCAGTGGCAGATCACTGTTATAATTTAGTGGGATCACATGACATTGACTTCTCCAAGACGGAGGTTCTCTGCAAGCCATCCGGCTACCATGAGAGATTCGTTCATGAGGCCATCCACATTTACAAACACAGACAATTTCAACCGAGAAAATTAATTCAGGCTCAGCAATCATTGGAAGGATGTGATAAACCATTTCGGGTCTTGATTGATTTTGTTTTACGGTGACTTTCAGACTGCAGTCCATTAGCTGGCATTGCCTCTTAGTACCTTTTACGCGACGGTCAATGGTATGGTTTATAGCAGATTGTATAATAATAAATAGAATAACAGTGTAATGTTTAATATAATTCATAAGGTAATATATAGTTTCGTAATTGTATAGCGAATATACAGCAGTGTGGTATACAGTAGGGTTGGTAGAATAATACATAGTGTAATATTACAAGTCTAATATTATTATAGTCATGTTAATAGCTCAGCTTATTCGATAATATATTGAGTACATTGATTATTTTAGCGTAGTTTGTATTTAGTTTTTTCACATCGGTTTATTGTATGATAGTTGGGTAGTTGCAGTTCTTTAGCGTCAATATACTAAATGCCTCTGTTGATATGTTAACTCTGACTTTAACATAGCCACTTCCGTGACCAGTGACATGCTAATTCCTCACATTAACATCATGCTAATCTCCCAGTTACATGCTAATTTCTGACTTTAACATCCTGCTAATCTCTCACATAAACACAGCTAATCCAATGCTAAATTATTCTGTTGACATGTAAACTCCTTTGTCAAGGCGTTCTGCTCCTCCCACCAAGCTTAGATTACGCTGTCAAGCTTAGCAGTGTTCATTGGAGCACTGTCTTGTAGACAGCTCTGTTTCTTCACCTGAGGACGGCTGCTTGTGTTGTGGCCGAAACGTCGTGAGAATTTTATTATGTTTTATTTTCATTATTTTATTTTTTCCATTCTACGTGACTTTACCGAAATAACCAAGAAGATGAATCCCTGCGGTCACAAAAGATTTACATCAAAATGTAACGCCTCGGTTGCCAGATGTGGGCAAGTATTGTCGTTAGAGGCCTTACCCTCGCCAACTCTCTGCCTGACACGAGAGACCCGGGCAGTGCCTCTTCCTAAAGTTGTCAG